ATTAAAAATTTTTAATTTTAAAAATATAAATTATAAAAAATTTTAATAAGATAAGTATTCAAGTAATCTTAAATAAAATTATTTATTATACTCTCAAGTATATATATTTAAATTTTTATATTATTTAAATGAATATTATGAAGAAAATTAAAATACCTGGTTTTTTTTGTTATATATTATATTATTAAATAGAATAAACTTTGCTAATTCTGATTATATAAATTTTATTTTAAAATTAATATAAAAATTCTCTCAAAAAATCAATTAAATTTAGTAAATATAAAAAATGATCAATTTAATTCAAATAATAATTATAGAATTTCTAGTAAATCAATTTTTATAAAAATGATATATTCTAAAAGCTTAAATTTGGAGATTATAATAAATATTAATTATAAAATTTGAATTATTAGTTACTTTATAATTATTTTGTATCAATTTTGACTAAAATAATTAATATTCAAATTATATATATATATTAGAAATAATATGATAATTAATTTTTATATATTACAGAATATAGTTTTTTACTTATATTTTGAATAATAAATAAATTGATTTATAATTTGTAATGAAAAAATATAAATATATTATTAAATAAAATAGATTTTACTATTTCTAATTATATTAATTTATTTAAATTAATATATTCTCATAAAAATATGATTAAAGTTAGTAAATACAAAATTAATTAAATGAGAATTACAGAATTTCTAGTTGTATTATGTCATATATATTAAAAAAATAAGCAACTTTTAAAATAAGCAACTTCTAAAATAAGCAACTTTTTATTTTAGATCCAGAATATGATAAAATTATAAGATCCAAAAATAAGCAACTTTATATTTGGAATCAGTTTTAAAAACTTTTAATATACATTAAAATTATCTACAAAAATAATTATATTTCCATTCTCTTTTACAATATCATTCTCATCTACTACATTTATATCACTCTTATCCATTACACGTATATCATTTTCATTCATTTTGCATCACTTTTCTTACCACTTTCTGTATTGATAAACTTAGTAAAAATTTCATCATCCTCCAATCTATCCAAAGTATTAAAAATACAATACTTTCAAAATACTCGCTGAACAATTTCTGGGCTTATTTCATTTCAGTACTAAGAATTTACTCACACACTGTATATAAGCTTGCACATTTCAGATTTCTACCTGCAGTTTCTCTAGCTCTATCACTTGCCATCCATATATGCCAATAATAATGAAGGGCAGCTTTGAAAGAATGATTGATAGAAATATCTAATGGTTGATATAGTGATGTGAGACCATCTAAAATAACAACAAGATCGATAATATTTTTTTCATCTCTTTTTTGATATCATCCGTAAGATGTACTTTGAAAGAATTATAAATAAGCAATTAAGGTTCTTTGTTGTAATCACCTGGTTGTTTTCTTGTAATATTATGAGTCCAATTTATTATTCCTTTTTCATTCATCCAGCCTTTTTCATGAAACAAGATGTTGATGTTAGGAGATGGTGGTAGTGTATTTTTAGTTCTGGGCCATTTCTTGCCTTTAAAGATAATGATTGGGAAGAGATTCTGACCATTAGTGATATATAAGAGTGATTGTGAAGATATTTTTATCATTCCAGTGCGAATGTGAACTGTTTTTTTGCCGATCGTTTCAACAGTGAGATCACCAAACCACACAGGAGTCTCGTTCATATTTGTGAAATGGCTAAGTAGAAATTTTTGCGATGATGTAGACCAATTATATAACATTGAAAATCAAGTAATTTTTTTTCAAGATCCTTAGGCGATATTTTTGTTTTACAGCGAAGGGTAAGATTATGCCAGCACAAAAAACGTTTGAGCCAATGTGAGGATTACTTTGAAGTTGTTGGCAATAAGTTTTTTTGTCAAGTTGTCTGTGTCGGTAGCAGTTTGAGCAACAATACTTGACATTTCAAGTTCTTTTCTACCAGCGCCAATGCGACGAGACTTGCAGTTTTTGAGGTCGTCAAGCTGAGTTTGTAAATTTTTCACCCATCTGCTAACCAGAATCTTGTCAACACTGAAGTGGGCTGCAGCTTTGGTATTATTCGAAGCAAGCGCAAAACGAACAACAGCAGCCTTTTCCTCGTCCTCGACAGAATATGACTGTCTTTCGCCCTTTTTTACACGCGTCATGCTAGATACTTATCACGCAAGTCAGTTTTTCATTTTTGATCGGAGAAAAAAATGATATCGCATAAAGCTCCGAAAATAAGCAACACCCCTGATTTAGATTCTCAAAGGTGCATTTTTGGGTTGCTTATTTTCGGGCATATACGGTAAATCGCGTTTAATTCTCGTCAATCCTTTTATAGATGATCTTGTGTGGATGCTTTTGTCAGGGTGTACATCAAAATTAATTAAAGCTAACAAATAACAAATAGATAATATTTTTGCCGTTACTTCTCGTGTTTTATTTTATGATAAGTCTGAGTTGAAGCGCATTGCTAAAAAATTTATAAAATATCTATAACGATAACGACAAGCAAAATTGCGCCTTATATATGTAGAAAAAATACGCAATAAAAAATTGAAAATGTCGAGGCGATAAGTTTCTATTGGTAGTATATACACGCGAATGATCTAAATTCTGTGTAGCTTCTAAAACTATTTCGATTATAAAAAAGAATTTTACACAATTTTTTTCAAAAGCACATTAAATATTAACTGTTCTATAGAATTGAGAAGTGGTGCTTATTAATATTAAGTTCTTAGTATTAATTCATTGATTTAAAGTTGAATATTTGGCATTAGACTCATGAAGAAAAGCTATATTGACATACTTTTTAGATTGAAAATATAATAATTCTCTCGAGAAAACCGATTTCACGCAATTTTTTATTGTAATATTGAAATTTTCTGATTTAACGGTTTTTAAATCAGCAATACAAATTTCTCAAAGCATGCAGGTCGTTAAATCGCGCGATGACTGTAAGTATTAAAAGTAACATATGCGCCATGTATAAAACTAATGGAAGAATAAGAATTAGAATATGGTCATGTATGTAGGTTGGGGCTAGTTTTAAAGTTGATACAAGGAGACTGTATTGGTTAATCCTACTCACACTAATCGATATAAATATATAAACGTTTACAATCCATTATCTTATTAATAGTACATGTCCTTTACAATTTGTGATGATCTATATCATTTATTTGTAGTTTAGGTTCTCAGGGAATATCCTTGCAAATTTTGTTTTAATACCTTTGTTTGATAACAATTACCGTTACATGTATTTTAATGCATATATTTATTCCCAGTTTACCATATAATATTTTGGTTTATTCTTTGCCTTTATCATTTTAAAAAATTTTTCACATTAATTAAACGAATTATTATTTTAAAGCTTGCTTTACGCTAAATTCTCGAAATTCTTTATCATATATTGAAATCTCTCTGAACTATTGTTAGCTAGTGACATCGACGAATAAAGATTATGGATGTACGTTTTAAATAATAGAAGAAATTTTAAGGAGCCCAATTCGCAACTTAAAATACTCACGCTTTCTTCATTATTTAGTCCATTAAGGAATTACTAGCATATTTGCAAAGCACTTTTATAAGTCATACATGTATTTAGCATTGACTTGGAATAAGAAGATAAGTTTTGAATGAAATTTCGAATTGTTGACCCAGCTTTGAAATAATCTATAATTTTATCCAACACTTCATCACGCTAACAGTATTTAATTCTAAGCTTATTTTCTCCTCTTCAAGAAAGATTATATGCAACAATAATAACAAAATTTGTTTGATTCTAATATTTGTTTGTTCCGTGACGTTTTACTTTTTCAAATGCACCTTTGTTGTGGTCCCGGGTACAATAATATTGGCGTAATCGGAATTTCGTGATTTTAAATAATCTGTATAACGATAAGTTTTTTTTTTACGTATCTGTTACATGTATTACAATATGAAAATCTTTGCACAAAATTCCCACCCAAGGAATATGTGATTGTCAATACCTCATTTGGGAATATATTAATTATAACATTACCAGGGAAAGATTAAGCTTTGGAAATAGTATTTACATGTAAATTTGTCTTCCTGACATTTTTAATTAGTATTCCAAGACAGATTAAAACACTGGTTGTGTCGGATTTGGTTTGCCGGTCTGATTAAACATTTGTGCATGAACGACAAATTTTGTTCATCCTTATTGGGATGGATTACATGAAGGTTACATATTTCCAAATCGGATGGTGGGTTGGGTACATGCACATACATTATCCATTGCCTCATTAATAACAATTTTCGTTTCACTGCAGAGTTGTTTGTTCTATTTTAACCAAATCATAGAGATTTTGGATGGCAGTGAATTTAATGATTTCCTAATTAACACAGTTACCCTGGAGCACTGCCCGTTCAAATTTGGATAATGAATTTTTGGCTGAACTATTTCGTTTTGCGCTACCGCATACAAGCATTTTTTGCCATTGTGAAATTTCCTACATTTGGCATTCTTCTAAATGACACCACACCCTACTGAAATAAAGTATCTCCATTTTCGACCAAATCAAGTTTTTTGAATAATACAGAGGGGCACTGTCGTCACAAAAGTAACGCCCTATACATGTACGAATTGCATGGTAATTTCATAAACAATCATCTGATCTTTTAATTGAGGACAGTAATAGTACACGTATTATATGCACATATACGAGAATTAGCAGACTTTTAATGATTAATAGAAGTAATATGGCAATTCCAATATAAAAAGAGATCCTTCAACCTCACAACTTCCTCACAACCTCTCAACCAAATTACCAACTAAAAAATCTTATTACGTTACGAAATGAAATCAATTATTTTATCTTTGACTGTCGTTCTTGCTTCCATCGCTTATGTTCAAGCGGGGACATGCACCCTTAGTAAGATCATGTCATTCGATTAATTTGTTAATATATAAAATTTGTTGTACTAATGACATTTTCATTTCTTTAGCTTGGTTCGGCCAATATCGACATGAAACTGGTAATCAGAGTGGTTGTTACGGTGTTGATGAGTCCGATCCTATAACAAAAGTTACTGTCAGTACTGTTGGTAGTTCCTACATTTTTTACAGTGACTACGGCTGCACAGGAGATGCAATCATAACCGGCCACGATACCTCTTCAGGTCCTCCAGTTAAAGCAAAATCTGTCTATCTAACATGTGCATAAATTTGTAATGCGTATAAATGTATATTTAAATTAATGTAACTCTAGGCAAAAGTTGAGTCTAAGTTAGTGTTACATGATAATATATCAAAGATTAAGTGTAAAATAAAATTCGACCAATCCAATTGCAAACGCATAAAATTCAAATTTTCTATATTAACTAGCTTTTGATCCCAAGTCAAACTTTAATCCTAACTTTACCTTTTATAATGAAATTTCTATCTTGCTTTTAGCTTCCCATATTAGGTAATTTAACTTAATCTAAGTTTAAATAACGAAATTTTTAATGGCGTAATATATGAATAAATAAAAAATTAGAGTTGATTGTTTTAAGAATATGTATCAGATGACCCGAAACTTTTTCGCCATTGCAACTTACATGAACATGTATATGTAACAGCTACATGTACATGTATATGTTTCGAACACAATTACATTTACATATACATGTACATGTACATGTAATGTTTGTCGTGAAAATGTATTGCATCCGGAAAAATTTGCGTTAATTCCGGATATTATAGTACCCAGATATATTGTGTAGTATCCGGATATTCATTGAGAATTTAAAATACTAGCAGGATTGTGGATGACGGCGAACTACAAAGAAAAAAATTAATTTTAAAAAAGTGTAAATATCTCCATAACTAATGAACCAAATTTAATGAATTTGAAAGGTCTAGTTATGATGCATCTTATTTAATTTGATTTACTAGATGCAAAAATATCATGATTCAAAAGCAATGTTCAAAATCATACAAAATCTCTTTGAAGTTCTTCATAATTCTGTTAGTATTATTTTAAACGATTGACATAATATTAATAAAATTTCAATTTATATTTTGCAAATATCTAATATTATTCCATTTATATTGATAATATAATTGAAAATACCTGATAATATTATATAAAAAATTTTGAATTCGTATAAATTTTGTAGGAATATATATATAGAACTCACATAGATAACAGTAAAAGAAGTTTAATTTATGCAAAACTTATGTGAAAAGCTATATAAAACTCATATAAAGTCTTTTGTAAAGTCTATATATAATATCTATAGAATTTATGTGAAATATTATATCAATTTTATAAAAGTTTCTATATAAATTTTACATGCTATATAAACTCTAATAATTTATTTCTATTTTGCAAATTGATTAGCCAGCAGTGATCTTGTATGAAATATTGAATGTTTATAAGCCTGACATTTGAATAAACAGCATTTTGAAAAATCAAAAATGATATCTCAAAAGATCGAAATTTCAATTACATGAAATTCTGAAATTATATTAATTTTAATATTTCTTGCATTTTGAAATAAGCATACTTTTGGAATTTTAATCTTTCAGAATTCTGTTTATTTGGAATATTGTTCATTTGTGATTTCAATTTTCAGGATTTTGTTATTTGGAATGCTTTGAACTTATGAAATTACAGAATTTAGTAATTCAAAATTTTGATTATTACGTGCAGAACATATATAAAAAAACTTGCACAATATTTAACTGTTTTTAGGATAAATTAAAATGCATCTTCACTAAATACACGAACTTGCATAATATTTTGATAATTCTTTGTCTTTATCATTTTAAATATTTTTCATATTAATTAAGTAAATATTATTTTAAAATTTACACTGTTTTTGTTGAAATTGCAAATTTCTTAATTTCATATTTATTATAATTTTTATATTATTAACTTAATATTCGATAAACTTATATCACATTATTATTTTTAATTATTATTGTGGCCAATTTTCTTGTGATTTTGGCAGTGTTAAAGAATTTTTTTTTATAAAATATTTAAAGCTTTGTATTTGATAATGCCAAATTTTGACAATGTCAAAAACATGCTGAAGAGCTAATTGTAGAAAAGTAAACAAATATATATATATATATAAAGAGCACTTTTAATATTAAGAAGCTTGCATGCACTAACTATTAATTAAAGATAAATTGATATTTATTTTGTTA